GAATTCCTAAGTAAAATCCCATGTAAATCCCCACGTACAGTACCGTCCGCAATTGTCAGTCCACCCATTTTTAAAGGAATGACAAAAATTTTTTATCATAAAATTCATGAAAACTAAAATTTTTTTTGGTTTATATTTTAAAAGACGATAAAATTTTGAAAAGAATAAGACCTTACAGAAGTCATTTGGCCAAAATTTGTAGAAGATATTCCTAAAAATCGTCATTTTCCATGTTTTACAAAAATTTAAATAACTTCTAAAATAATGAACGCTTTTTAATAATCTTAGGCTTATTTTAAAGGTCTTTTTCTACGGAATAAGAATTACTTATAGGCATTAACCTGTCATTTTTAACTTGGAATAAGCATGACGTCAAAATTAGACAAAAAAGTTGGAAAAATTTGAAATCAATTTTTTGTACTAAAAACTATTCTAGAACATATATAAAACATGATATGGTGTAGATTTTTCAAGAAAATTTAATAAAAATATATGTTTGAGTTTCAAAAATTATTTTTCTTTTAATAATATTATTTCAAATTTTTTGAATTTTTTTGTCCAACTTTGACGTCATGCTTATTCCAAGTTAAAAATTACAGGTTAATGCCTATAAGTAATTCTTATTCTGTAGAAAATGGTCTTTAAAATAAGCCTAAGATTATTAAAAAGCGTCCATTATTTTAGAAGTTATTCAAATTTTTGTAAAACATTGAAAATGACGATTTTTAAGAATATCTTCTACAAATTTTGGCCAAATGACTTCTGTAAGGTCTTATTCTTTTCAAAATTTTATTGTCTTTTAAAATATAAACCAAAAAAAATTTTACTTTTTATGAATTTTATGTTAAAAAATTTTTGTCATTCCTTTGAAAATGGGTGGACTGACAATTTCGGACGGTACTGTAGGAAACCACATGGAATCCTACGTGGTATTCCACATGGTTTCCTTAGTAATGATAAAGATTACTGTCGCTCCTATACTTTCACCGCTAGGTGGCGAAAGTGACTTCCCTCGCTGTTGAGACGACTCTGGAAGTATATAAAAGCTGAGAACCTGTAGCAGAGAGGACGTGTTTCAAATGATCGTTTTTTTACTTTTTTGATGACTTGTAACACTAATACTATTTATTATTTAATTTTTTATTAAATAATTTTTAATCCTTTGAAAATTTCTTCATTGGATCTTTAATAAAATACTATGTGATATCTCATTAAATCCTAGGTGAAATCTTGCATGAAATCCTATGTCAATTCCCATATAAAATACTATGTGAAATCCCTTGTAAAATTCCAAGTGGATTCCCATGTAGGGATATTCAATAAGGCGGATAATGTTTTTCACATGGGATTTGGTTTAGCATTTGACATGGGAAAATCATTATAAATAAATGATACTGCGCGAATGTTTTTCACTTGGGGATTGACTTGGGAAAATAATTATAAATAAATGATACTGTTTTTCACATGGGATTCGGTTTAGGATTTGACTGGGAAAAACATGTGGGATTTGATATGGTTTTATGCATAGATGAACTGTTCAAATTCCCCATGTCTATTCCTAACTAAAATCCTGTCTCAATTTCCCATATGGTTTGACATGGGAAACCACATGGTAAACCACGTGGTTTCCTTCATGGAAGTAGGGTTTTACATGGTTTTTGACATAGGATCCCATGTGGTTTCCCATGTGGTTTCCCATATGGGGATTTTCAATAGGGACCAGAATGTGCCGCGTGGAGGCTGCAAAGGTTTTACATTACACTTTCTGTTCTTTGTTTTTTTTTGGTTTATAATATCTATTTAAAATTTAAAAATTTTGTCCGACATATTGGATCCGCCATTTTGAATTTTTTTTTGACGTCATATTTATATTCAGCGACCCCAAAAACCCTTGTATACTAAGTTTCATAAAAATTCATCTACCAGATTTTGCTGAACATTTTAGGCCAATCATATGATTATTTTTCCAAACAGCGAAGGGGTTTATAAGATTGTTTTAAATTTTTTAAATTCTTTTGTTTTAAGTTTGCCAACCTGCATTTTCTAAGAAAAAAGTTTCGTATATTCGCATAATTCAAGTTATTTGAATCAAATAAATATATAGATAAAAAAATTATTTGAATGACTACATAAATAATTATTTGACGCAATTAACCCCTTCACAGTGTTTGACGTCTATAGAGGCCAAAATAATTCCTGCCCCCAGTGTGTATGACCGCTATAGCGGCATCGAAAAAAAAGTTATATAAAAGTTAACGAATAATAATAAATATTTAATAGTTATACAAAATGGGATTTTTTTATAAAAATAAAATTTTAAAAATTATTTAATTTATTCATTTTATACTTTTTTTGTTTCTACTTATTTTTGATTTTGGAAACCTAATATTAAAGAAGCCAAACTTGAAAATATATCTTGGAATCAAGATATATTAAATAGAAGTTCTTCTTTATCTTGTTTCTTTATCTAATTTTAAAATTACCTTTTATTGTCAAAGATTACATTTATTATTATTATTGTTGTTATTGAATAATTATTAAATTATTATTATTATTATTATTAAAAAAATGTTTTTTTAATTTTTTCCAAAACTTTAAAGGATTTTCAGGAATATTAGTTAAAATAAATAAATTCAATTAATTTTTTTATTTTTATACGGAATAAAGTATTTTTATTAAAATAAAGTTTGCTGCTTGTAATGCACAGAAATATGACAAAAGGAATAAAAAAAATTAATATAACTTCTTATTATTATAAATTTAAAAAAATAAATAAAAAATTGATTTAAATTAGAAAAAATTATTATCTTAAGTAGTAATTTTTTGCTTCTAATTCAATTATTTTTAATCGATTTACCCTGAGATATCTCGCGGGATATTGGGATATCCCAGGGACATCCCTGGGATATCTGTGACGTCTCAGAGATATCCCTGGGATATCCAAATTTCCATCCCATGGGAATTAATTATTTTTATGCAAATAAATGAATTATTGGGAATAAATTTATAAAACATTAGTAAGTAATAGAATTTTGCCGAAGAATATTGATATTTACAAAGATAATTGAAATTTTGAAGAGAATTTAAAAAAAAATTTTGAAAGTAATTTAATTTCTGCCAAGGAATTTATTAGTTTTGAAAATAATTTAATTTCTACGAAGAATTTTATTACTTTTAAAAATAATTGAATTTCTAGGTTGAATTTTATTATTTATAAAGATAATTGAAATTATGACGAGGATTTTATTATTTATATAGATAATTGAAATTATGACAAGGATTTTATTAAAATTCTTAGGAAATAATTCAATTTCAGAAAAATAATTTTATTATTCACAAAGATAATTGAATCTTTAAACAGATTTTTTCTAAAAATGTTTAAAAGTAATTGAATTTTGCAGAAGAATTTTTATATTTATAAACATAATTGAAATTTTGACAAAAATTTAAAAAACATTTTTGAAAATAATTGAATTTCAGAGAAGAATTTTAAATTGAAATTTCGACAAGAATTTTATTAAAATTTTTTTTAAATAATTGAATTTCGGAGAAGAATTTTATTATTTATAAAAATAATTGACATTTTAAAGAGAATTTAAAAAAATTGTTAAAAATACCTAACTAAAATTTTGCTATGAATTTTATTCAATTTTTAAAAATTTTATTCCGGATTGTTTGATATTAATGTATCTGTTGTCGAGAAATGTGATTTTTTCTAAAATTTCATGCGACTTTTCGTGACTTTTGTTGTAAATTTATGCGAATAAAGCGACTTTTTTTTAGTCTTAAAGACGATCCGAGCCCTGTTTATTGTGTAATTATTTTCAACATTTATTTTTACATCTAGCACCTTATGATTATATTATTAAATAAATATTAAAATTAATAAAATGTAATAACTTTTTTAATAGTTATCTCACAGTCATTTTCATTCAATTGTTTGATATTGAAAAAGCAAGTACTATTATTATTTTTTATTATACTCTCTTAACTTAAATCGATTAAAAATAATTGAATTAGAAGCAAAAAATTACTACTTAAGATAATAATTTTTTCTAATTTAAATCAATTTTTTATTTATTTTTTTAAATTTATAATAATAAGAAGTTATATTAATTTTCTTTATTCCTTTTGTCATATTTCTGTGCATTACAAGCAACAAACTTTATTTTAATAAAAATACTTTATTCCGTATAAAAATAAAAAAATTAATTGAATTTATTTATTTTAACTAATATTCCTGAAAATCCTTTAAAGTTTTGGAAAAAATTAAAAAAACATTTTTTTAATAATAATAATAATAATAATAATTTAATAATTATTCAATAACAACAATAATAATAATAAATGTAATCTTTGACAATAAAAGGTAATTTTAAAATTAGATAAAGAAAGAAGATAAAGAAGAACTTCTATTTAATATATCTTGATTCCAAGTATTAAAACTGTTTCTATTACTTGTTTGATTATTCTCATATACAAAATAATCAGTAATAATCACTATTTAAAATTATTAATCGCCATAAGAATGAAAATGTAACAATAATGTACTTACAAAATTATATAACAAATACTATTACTTAAAAAAAATTTCAAAATATGATACCAAACTCATTTTTCTCCGTATGGTAACATAGATTTTTAGATTTAATTTTTCTTTTATAATAGAAGTCAAGTATACTTATTTTAACTTTTATTTTTTGTATTTTATGATTTCTTAAATTAAAAAATTTGTAGTTTAACTTTTTCAAATACTTTTTTAGTTTGTTATTCTTTCTTTACATTGTTTTCAATCAGAATATTCATTATTCCTTTTATTTTTTATTTTCTCTATATTAGTATTTAGCTTCACCTCAATTTTTCACAAATTATAAAACAAGAGTGATTTTTCATTTTGAAAAAGAAGGAAAAAACAAACGCCGTTTAATAGAATTTCAATATAAGAACAAACAAAAAGAAAAGTTTTTATTTAAAGAAAACAGTAATTTCCTTTTCTACAGGCAACAAAGGAATTTATAGAAGCAGTTAACAAGTGTCGGGCAGGTCGACGTGCAGGTCCAGTGTCATGGAGCGCAGCCGTAAAGTTCCTAGCTGCTCGAAAATTTGAAGTTGCAAGAGCTTTGGCACTTTACGAACAGCATGAAGCTACCAGAAAACGAGAAGGTTTAGCCCTTTTGCAACCCACTCAGGAACCACTTTTGAGTGAACTACGAACAGGAAAATTTACAGTTTTGGTATGTTAATACAAAATTTCCCTTTCATCTCACATCCCTTCTTTATTTCTGGGACGCGTGAAAATTACTTGAAATTCAATTAGATGAATATATATAACAATTATGTATAATATACTATTATATTACATTATAAATAAATTTCATAATTGACACATATTATTATAATTTAATCCCTATTAAAAATAATCACGTGTAATTACATGTATAAATTTTGACATGTAAATACATGTACATGTAAATACACGTAAAAAAAACTTTTCCTCGTGTATTTACATGTCCAAATCGACACGTGATTATTTTTACTTGAGATGCCAAAAATCTCAAAAAGTTACTTTATTATTTAAATTTCAATTGCTTCTTAACTTAAGTAGTATGAAATTTAAAAAAAGGTGGTTCGAGCTGTTGTGGAAGTATCTATTGTATACTCTCTAAATCTGAATTAGTAAAATTCTACTAATTCTTAGTAGAATATTACTAATTGAAATGGGGAAAAGTCGTCCACCTAGAATTAGTAGAAATAGTTTGCGCATGCGCATATTTAGACGCCATTAGTTCTTACTAAATGAATTAGTAAAATGTTTATTCTTAGAAATTGTAAACAATATTTAGAATAAAGTATTTTTAATGATACATTATTAATTTACACGAAGAAAATAAAGAATAAATTGATAAAATTAAATATTAAACGAAAATTTAGTTCATTTTAAAATAGATTAAAAAATTATCACAATTACACACAGACAATACTATCAAAATTGTATTATTAGCTCTTCCAGAGTTTTTCAAGAAATAAAAATTTCTCTAAATATCACCAAAATCTATACGATCTTAGCAGATTTAGCACAAGAATTCTTTTATAGCACTCAACACTAGGTACGTTTTCGTTGCCTGCACTAAGTGTAACTTTTACACCACCTCATTAGTAGGTGCAGAAAGTGTAGCGAAATGTATGGTAAAATTACGTCACATCCGGCAAAGAGAACAGCATAGTGCAGGTTAGGTGTTAAAGTGTAAGAAGTGCAGGCAACGAGAATATACCTAATCAGAGCTGCCAGGTACCCTCACCAAAAGCAACTGCGCACTTTGCGTAAAGGCCAACGCAGAATAGATCTGTAACCGGAACCGCAATCGTAAGCGTAACCGTAAGAATGAGTTAAAGAAGGATAGGTATATTGTTTATCCTTCTCTAACTCATTCTTACGCTTACGGTTACGATTGCGGTTCCGGTTACAGATCTATTCTGCGTTGGCCTTAAAACAAGCCGTCTGGCTTCGCGCCGCTGCGAATGGGAGAGAAATCAGGGACGGATTTATGCGGAGGAATAATAATAAGTAATGACATTTGACGAAGAATATAATGCTGATTCTACACTTACTGAGTGCATGAGATAGACAAAGACAGAGACTATCGCTGTCTTTGTCCATCTCATGCTAGTCGTTCCGGAAAGTCAGGGCGACTCAGTAATGTAGAATTAGCATAATACTGATTCCACACTTAGGGTGCAGTCCCATGGCAGCGTTTTGCGTTCCGTTTTGTAACTAGGCCATGAGTGCAAATATAGCAAACATATATCTCCATCTCTCTCACACTTATGTTCTAGTTACAAAACGCAACGCAAAACGGTGCCATGGGACTTCAGCCTTACCCAGCGCTCCGCTTTTCCGTGGCGCTTTGCGTGAGATAGAAAAAGACAGAGACTATCTCTATCTTTTTCTGTCTCACGCGAAGCGCCACGGGAAAGCGGAGCGACTGGGTAAGTGTGGAATCAGCATAAAGAAACTCGCAAAAGTTCATCGGTCCCCCGCATGGATCCGTCCCTGCTTTCCCTCCCATTCGCAGCCGCGCGACGCCAGAATCGATTCGTCACACTTGAATTTCAATCACGGAGTAAGGGTGTAGTCCATGACAGCGTTTTGCGTCGCGTTTTGTAACTAGGCAATGAGTGTGAGAGAGATGGAGATATATGTTTGCTATATTTGCACTCATGGCCTAGTTACAAAACGCAACGCAAAACGCTGTCATGGGACTCCACCCTAATAATAAGGAGACTGTACTACCAGTGAGATTCCGTGCCAAATGTCTGGCTTGGTTCACTGAATCTTTTAAAATAACACGCATGCGCAGTTTGCAACTATCTTCGTCACTCTCGAAAGAACGATGAGAGAAATCATTATTTTGACACATGAGTTAGAAATTGTGGTTATGTTTTATTGTTGACAACAGCAACTATACAGGAAAATCAAGATTTCCTACCAAAAAAAAGCATGAAGGCATGGGCAAGATCGAATATCGAAGAGAACTCGCAGCGCGATTAGGAAAAAAGCATTGGAGAAAGGCATACTCATAAGCAAAGTGCATGTTGCAGATGGAGCTGCGGTTGTCCAATTGTTGGCGCTAACTTTTAAAATGTTGATAGCCTTTTTTGAAATTGATAAAAAATAAATATTTATTTTTATTCATTTTTTAATTAAAAGTAATTAAGAAAATTAAATAAACAAAAAACTTTTTTTAATATTATTAATAACAATGAACATACATTCTAATTCAGCATCAGATAATTAAAACTAGACAAATGGTATATATTTATCAATTTATGTTTATTAAAAAAGAAATTAGAATAAATAAATTGAAATCAATATTATTGAAAATAATAAATAATTATTAATAATAGTAACAAAGAATATAATTATAATAGGGCAGGAGTTTAAATCTTATATTTAAATGTAATGAAATTAAAGTTATTAGAATTAATTCAAAATTAGGTAGCAAACTAAATTTAGAAATGGCGTAGAACAGTTAAAGATAATTCCCTATTTAATGCTTAGCGTTCGCCAGTTTCATATGCCTTACGCTTATATGTTTGTGTAAGTTTAATTGTATATCAAATTCACAAAGAAAAAAGAAAAATTGTAATTAATTAAAAATTAGGCAGGGAACTGAATTGAGAAATGGCAGAGAACGGCAAAGGAAACGGCCGCTTGCGGCCGTCGACTGCGCTAGTAAATAATAAAAAATATTAATTAACAAACTGCAAAGAGAAGAGTAAGTGCAATATATTATAATATTAATAAATTCGATGGGTTAGTGGAAAAAGAGGACACCTCGAATTTTGTTTGAAAAAGAGGACACCTCGCATTTTAGTTGAAGAAAAGGACACGTCGAAAATATTCATTTGACATCAACTTTCGTTTGGCGATACTTTGTGTAATGTAATTGTTTTTCGAGTTTTTGTAATAGAAGATTTAAGAACATATTATCTTTATAGTTTTTTGAGCACAAAATATCATAAATCAATTACTTTACACATATTATCGTCAAACAAAAATGCATTTAAAATGAATATTTTCGAGGTGTCCTTTTCTTCAACTAAAAAGCGAGGTGTCCTCTTCTTGAACTAAAATTCGAGGTGTCCTTTTTTTCCACTAACCCAGCGAATTGTAATATAGGGTGCACTGTTAGAAATTTCTGTAATTTTACAGCAACTTTACAGTACAAACATATTGTGAATTTACAGTTTTTGCTGTAATAACACATAAATGTAGTAAATTCACAAAAATGTTGTAATTTTTACAGTAAAACCTTACAAATACAGCAAAATTTCATTGTATTTGAATAATTCACAGCAAAAAAAAATTGTACTTTTTATTTACAGTAAATTGTTTGCGAAATCACAGTATAAAACTCAAAGAATTTTACAGATATTCATTTTGTGATTTTAGCTGAGGTTTTTTACATTATAACTATAGCATTGACTGAATTTTAACCTTAAGAATATGATTTTAAGTCCTAAAAGTATAGCTGAATCATTTTTTAAGCTTAAAAATAGTTTCAATAAAAACTATTTTTTAATTATATTGCATTTTAGTATTAGTGAATAATTTTGGACTGAAAAGAAGAATAGAGTATGGTACACATGTTTCTTATATTTGATACTGTAACAAATTTAGTTTATTTTTATTTTTTGTCTTATGCAAAATTTTAATTTAACTTTACTTTAGTTCGGAGATGTATAATTTTAATAAATATAACATTAATTTTTATAATTTGACAAAAAGATAATATTTTATTCCTTATTAATTTGCGATTATTACATTAAATTAATTCATTTTTAACTGTCGATCGAAGAAAAGTCATTCAACATTCATATAATAAATAATTTGATTATTATAATGACTATTTCGCGTCGGGACAATATATACATAATACTTTGCAAGAGACTTTCATAGCCTCCCTTGGTCGAGCGCGTCTAGGCGCAGCTCCCAAGGTTGATGGCTCCATACAAGATAGACAACACTATATACGACTAAGGGTTCAAATCGTGGCGTCGCATTTCCGTAATAATGATAATAAAATGCTAATAAAACTTTTTTTTTAGTTAATTTACTTTTATTATAACATATCAGAAAACAATATAAACAGTTTTGATTTTTTATGTAAATATTCAAATGATAGAATTTCCGAATTAATAGTAGGGAATATTTTTGAAATACATGGTATACTGTAAATTTACAGCACTTTAGTGAAGTAAAATTACAATATTATTTTGATGGATAATTGTTTCTTGTACTTTTGCTGTAAAATCACAACAGAATTTTCTAACAGTGTGTGAGTAGAAATTAATAAAATGATTATTTTTGCCGAACCGGAGTAATTATTTTTTTTTGTATGATGAAGTGAATGAATACAATATAATATAATGCTATAATGCTAATATAATTAATATCTACTCACACATTTCCTATATTACAATTTTTACAATTTATTAATATTATTTAATAGTATAATATATATTGTAAACAATAAAACATAACTACACTTTCTAACTCATTTGTCAAAATAATGATCTCACTCATCGTTTTTCCGAGAGTGACGAAGATAGTTGCAAACTGCGCATGCGTATTATTTTAAGAAATTCAGTAAACCAAGCTATAGTCACCAGGTCATGGCCGTATATACACAGCGTAACGCAAGTATAAGTGCCAACGCTGAACATTGAAATT